ACATTCACTTACGTCCTAATACCCTTGGAAAAGATATGAATCTTCTTCCTCCTCCAGCTATGGATAAATAGCAGGACAGACCGGGTTCTATAGCCGTGGGTGGCAACTGGGCTACCTCTGAAAGAAACGGCAACCTACTGCGGGAAAAAATCTACCTCGTTAGTCATGTATCGAAAGATAGATGATCACCTAAGCGTGTATCACGCATGTTACATAACTGACTGAATTGTGAAATGATTAAAAAAAACACATGACTTAATTAACATCGGATAATTGTTAAAAGTATTTCTGAGATTTTGTTCCAAATTTTGAATAAATGTAAGAAAATTTATATCAGTATAAAGAGAATTAGTTTTTATTTTGGAGATATTCTCGAGCATTCTTCTCAGAACTTATTTAAACTTACTGAGACCGATTTCATGAGAACTAATGACAAAGCAGAATTGAAAATAACTTTAAGAAGTTTTCACAACTTTTCGTTAATCTTCACAAAGTATGGTCTTTTTATCTGGTTTTCTGTAACGTCGACACTTCATTTAATGATGATGTATAATTTTCCTTTGGTTTCTATCCAACGTGTTTGTAATAGATTGAAATCCATTAACATGACAAGGTTTAAATGAATTCGTTAACAGCTTCAATGTTTCCAAACGCATCAAACATGTCATATAATAAGAACGTTGGATTTACAGTTGAAAAAAGTTTCGTATGCCGATGTATGCATTAATTAATGTAAAAAATATAAAGTTTATTTTCATTTTAAGTAGACATTTTTTTCTCTCTCGTTCGGTGTAACTATCTGTATCAGTTTCTGAAGAATTTTCCCGCTCAGAACTAGGCGTACATTGAGATTGTTCCATAATTAATTTTGAACTACGATTAGGAATGCAAAATTGTGAAATACATGTACAATGCGAATTTGAATTAATTTAATATTCTAAAAACGTATTTAACTGAAAAATGCACCTACAAAAACAATGAGATTTCATTATTAACAAACACACAAGAAGAATAAGCATTCACTTCTGAGGAAACTTCCAAAATATCTATCATATATATATATATATATATATATATATATAATTATTTTTATAAAAAAAAATTATAACATAAGTATGTTATAAAATCACTACAAAAATAGCCATTTTGTTTCAACACACTCTGTGTCTTATCAAGTGATGATGTTGAAAAGAAAATAAATGGTTTTAAAAGTTTCAGATTAATTAACGATCCTACACTGGGGGGAAACATTGTTACAAAAGTTAGAATAACCAATCAAAAACGAAGTATAGAAAGATTCAAAAGCTTGACAACGAAATATATATATATATAGCCTTTTTTTTAATCGGAATCACCCCAAACAAGGCAGTAATGCCACTAAAACACAAGGGGTTACAGAGTGTGGAAGAATTAGGAACAGAAACAATGACGATCAGAAAGAGGAGATAGTAATCAGATGGACAGTAGATAGTGATTGAAAGTGCATTTAAATTTTTGCAGATTAAAGTTGGCTGGAAAACATGAGGCTGGAAGGAAGTTCCACAAGCGAGAAGTGCGAGAAAATGAACTGTTAACATAGAATTGTAAACTTTAAATTAATGAGGTCTCCACGCTAGTCTAGTGCTGTACTTCAATTCAAAAAATCTAGGTATCATAGCAAAGAGCTCACTTGAACAATTACCATGAGATTATTTATAGAAAAGACATAGAGAGGTAACCTTACTGCGGTGGGAAAAGTGACTGGAGCAATGCCGCCAGATCAGGACCAATAATATTGTAGATTCTTCTTTGGATCTTATCAATAAGCTCAAGGTAAATAGCAGAGGCACCGGACCATATGTGGTAGCAATATTCTAAGCATGGACGAATGGTAGACTTATAGATATTTAAGATAGCGTGAACCTGAGAATGCGCAACGCGTCACTTTCCTGGAAGATAGCATCTGCCATTTTGATGGAAGACGGCAGGGGGTCTGTCAGATGATTAATGGAGAGATGTTTCGTTTTGAAAACGTTAAAATTAACAAGCCATCTTTTACGTTAGTTAACTACGGACTTGAGGTCTTTTTCGACATCGGCTGCCATTTTGTCCATGTCAGATTGATCAACCTTACTATCGAGGCAAGAGTAAATTGTTGTATCGTCCGCGTAGATACCAAATTGAGAGCTGATATCATCAGGAAGCTCATTAATGAAAATTAAAAATAGAGTATGGCCAAGGGCCCTGTGAGCACCTTCGTTAGTACGAAAGGATCTAGACGAGTGGCTGTTTAAGATAACTCTCAATGATTTGACAGGAAAGATTCCGGAGACACCGTAACTTTTCAGCTTGTGAAGAAGACCTGAATGCCAGACCCTGTCAAAGGCTTTCGAGATGTCCAATGCAATAGCCCGGACTTCACTGTTCTCTAGAACACGATAAACTCTTTCCGCAAATATCATCAGTACATCAGCAGTTGACCTGGAGAAACGAAAGTCATATTGCTTGTCTGAGAAGAGGCCCTGCGATGAGAGATGATGAACCAATTCAGCATTGATTAGGGCCTCTAGGATCCCCCCAAAAAAAAAGGTAGAAGGCTAATAGGCTGATAGTTGGAAGGGTCGAACGGTTCGCTAGAGTTCTTAAAAACTGGAACAATAGATTATGACTTCCAGCAGGCAGGAAAGCAGGAGGCAGTGAGGCATTTATTATACAGTTTAGAGAGAACAGGAGCCAGTTCGGTAGCACACTTCTAATAACATTTACAAGGATACTATCGGATCCACATGTTTTGTGGGGATCTAAGTTAAAGATGACAGTAGAAACTATGGAATCGGTTATATGCATATCACTCAACAGAGACTCAGTTCTAGGAGAAACGTTAGGCGAGGATATGGCAGATGAGTCAAGAGTTGAGTTTAAGGAGAATTTATAGGTAATGCATTCAGCTTTATCAGCAGGGGATAACACCTCATATAGATTGAAGAGGGGTAGAATAGAGACCTTACACTTATTTAATGCCCTATTACAGAGCCGCTAGTATTCGTGAGAGACAAAGTTATTAGAAGCTATGCGGTACCTCATTCTCTCAGCAATCAGGGATCTTGCTTTTTCGAGGACTCGCTTATATTAATTGCAAGCAGCAACGAATATGCGTATGTTGTGACGAGAGCCGTCTCTCTGGTATAGCCGAAAATAATGGTTCCTATGTGCTATATCGGCCGAGCATGCTGTAAACCATGGAGAGGATTGAGGTTTCACCTAGTATTTCCGAGAAGGGTTGAAAGCGTCCATGCAGGCTTTGACCCAAGAAGTAACCACAGTGGCGCAATTTCCAATTAGGAGTTTAAGATATCAGTCCGAGGTGTGTCACGGAGAAAATCACGGAGTGAGTCTCAATAAGCATGCTTGTTACGGAAAGAGGTCTTGTGGATAGGGTGTTTCTGTTTAATAGAGGATTAAAACAAAATATCAATAGCTACTACAGAGTAGTCATAATTACCAAGAGGGTAGTGTTGCGAAGCTCGACAAGAGCGAGGAGAGGAGGCAAGAAATAAATTAAGTAGAGAAGCATTTTGATCGGTAGGGAAGTTCAACATTTGAGTAAAGGATTGAGCAATGGAAATATTTAATGTCTGAACAGCGGCAACATCAGTCCCTTTAGAATGTTTAAGCTACACGTTGTGGTGAGCATTAAAGTCACCAAAGACAAAGATGTTCGCAGATGGGTGGATGGAAAGTGCCATTTCTATACTGTCAGAAATTATATCTAATATTCTGCAGTCCTGAAAAGAAGGGGAGCGATAAAGGAAAAAAGTGATAGCTAACAGAGTTTAGTAACGAAAGCCAGAAGCACATGAAGTAGTACTATCTATCTATCTATCTATCTATCTATCTATCTATCTCAGTCTGCTCATTATCTAGCTAGCTAGCTAGCTAGCTAACTCCATGTGTTCATCTATCTATCATAGTCGAATGTTTGTTGTATATATCTTTTGAACTAAGTCCATTTTGTCTCAAAGTTATATTTACAACGTGAAACAGACTCAAAATCAATATCAGAAAGGGACATTGTAATCTCTCGTTTTCTTCTATTTTTTTCAACACACATATTTAACAGCTTTAGATAAGGCCGCGCAAATCTACACAAATTTAGATCCCGTCGGAACAACCTATTTGAATAGTGTATGTTTGATTTATTCGCCTGATTCTTGAGCTTCATATGTTTTTTTTTTTTGTTTTTTTTACAAATTGGATCTCAAAAACATTCTGACTTAACACTGAAAGTATATAAAAAAAAGATGTTGCATCGGTTATCTCATTTGGTAATTTCTTTTGCTGACAGGAAAACATGAAAAAATGCGATGCACACAGAATCATGAACGATGACAACATTCTGTAAAACTTCCTGATAAGGATATTTATGAAGCTGTTGGAGTTGACAAATCAAGTGATTACTAATTCCATGTTTTCAGGTGCGCATTCAATGGCTTTGAAGGAGACTTTGATGCCGGCAATGATCTACAGTCTCTAAACAGTTAAATACGCTGTTAAGATTGAAGTTACACAAGGCATTTGCATTTAATTTATATGTCATTTATTCTATGCGATTTGTCTTTTTTTTTCTGACTGAGTCTTTTTGATGTCACTATTACCTCGTAAAACAAGACGAGAAAATGTGGGATCTTTAGATATGACTGAAAATGGTCGAGTATGTGAGCAGATAAAAACGTTTCTGCGGAAACAGAAATAGCTGCTGTTTTGAAAAAGGGTAATCAAACTGTTCTTTATTCCGAGAATTCAAAAGGGGAGGACAACGGACAAAGGTATAGTAAATTTGGTGGAAATTGGGTAGAATATTGGATGGATGGATGGTAACGAAGCGCAACCAGGTACTAAAAACTTGCGGAGAAACTGGATCTGTTGAGAAAGCTAAAAAATAGGGTATTATAATTTGCTCAGTTCTTTTTTAAAAGACACCAATGCCGTAAGTGAGCTATACCAAAACCCATTCATAAGACCGGCGACATCGAGGTTCCTTATTATCGAATATTTGATGTTCTCTCAAATGATTTAATACAGAGAGGTTGAGTATGTTGTTAGATAGATAGATAGATAGATAGATAGATAGATAGATAGATAGATAATGAACAAACTGAGATAGATAATGAACAAACTGAGATAGATAGATAGATAGATAGATAGATAGATAGATAGATAGAAAATAAACAAAATTAGATAGATAATGAACAAACTTAGTGTTGTGGTACGATCCACCTAATTTACTTAGTGGAGTACCGACCACATAAATATGGGTTGATACCGGGAAGACGATGGAGGAAGTAAGAAGAGATGCAATCCAGAGACTCTGCCCGACTGCGATTAAGTCAACCCATTCTACAGGAACAGTTCTTCCCAAGAATATACCAAAACTAACTGTAAATATTGTGTGCCTTTTCCTTGTTTCAATACATTTTGTTTACGTACATTTTGTGTTGTATTATTATTATTCCATGCTTATCCAAGCTTCAACACTTAGATAGATAGATAGATAGATAGATAGATAGATAGATAGATAGAAAATGAACAAATTTAGATAGATAATGAACAAACTTAGATAGATAGATAGATAGATAGATAGATAGATAGATAGATAGATAGATAGAAAATGAACAAACTTAGATAATGAACAAACTTAGATAGATAGATAGATAGATAGATAGATAGATAGATAGATAGATAGATAACAAGAGCGGCAACAATAAAAATAGCAACACATTCCGAAACAGAATTTCAATTAGAGTTATGTATGAACTGTAATGGCGGTGATGATCTTTTATGGCTTTGTTCTTAACATATTTTTAGAACAGGCTAAGAAATATCAAGATGGAACAGCAGTCTACACCTTACGGGAATGAGTTCGAAATCTACCCCAGATTGCCTAGCCGTTCATGTCTATTGGATTTCTTATAGAAACAATTGGCTGTGGAAATGGCATGCCAGTCTCTAAGTAGATTTCAACAAGAGATGTGATTTATGATATCCCTGATTTTGGATAGATTAAACTCGGCAGTTGAGAGTTAGTTATGTCACACCACAATTAAGGCTTATCGTGTCCATTTGGTTTATAAGACTAAGTAATTATTTAACTCTCAACGCGCTAAGTAGCCGAAAATGTATCAATGTTTTTTTGGGGTTTTTTTATGTATCCTTGCAGTGATGAAATTCCCAAGGCGAACATCAACTCTTTTACAAAGACGTCAATTTCTCGACAACGTAAAAGTAACTTAACACACATACATATGTATTGGTCTCACTGCTTAGTAACAAGATAATTTGTTGTAATGGCAATACGAGGCAATACTCGACAGTTCTCAAAGCGAATATGCCTCGTGTTACAATAACAACAGATTGTTAAGTCGTGAGACCCGGTTGCTAATCCATCGTTTTTTTTTATTGTTTTTGCTTACGGCTATATTTTTTAATATATTTAATAAGCAGGGAGCAGAATTATTTTTGTATGGTCATCAAATTTCAACATCAACAGGTTGCAAAGGGGGGCAATTTTAAATTGTTTATTGAATTGAAAATTTTTCATTGAAAACGATTGATATTTAATGGAAATTTAGATTGCAAAATAAAATGCAATAAATGATAATCATGATAATGGTAATCATAAAAACAATAGGCTATGGTCAGGAAACTGGGAATCACATCTATCGCATTGAACAGGATATTCACTTTAACTCATTGTAATTTGCAAACACCAAACATTTTTTTTTTTTTGGTTTTTTTAAACATTTCACCCCTAGCAAGACGGGAAGCTACTAGCACGCAAGGGGTTATAGAGGATTTGGATCGGGAGCGGGTGCAGGTAGGAATGAAAGAGGAAAGGATGGGGAGTAGGATAGTGGTTAGATCAAGGCAACTGGAGATGTCAATTGACATTACATTTGAATAGTTGGAGATTATAGCTATCAGGGAAAGGGTGTTCCACAGGCGGGAGGTGCGAGATATGAAGCTACATGAGTAGAAGAGGCGGTTACATTTAACAGTTTCAACAGTGAAAGGGTGAGACCGGGATGCCAGCCTCGTAGGACGCTTGAATTCATTAAGTCTGGGAACCAGCGCAAGCAGCTCATCGGAGCAATTACCATGAAAGTATTTGTAAAAAAGACAAAGAGATGCGACGGAACGTCTGTGAGAGAGCGACTGCAGACGAGATGCCAGATCAGGGCCAATTATATTGCATATCCGTCTCTGGATCTTATCAAGAACCCCGAGGCAAACAAAAGGGGCTCCAGACCATATATGGCAGCAATACTCCATGTAAGGGCGAATGGTTGATTTGTAGATTTGAGGGATCGATTCCGGGGAGAAAAATTTCCTAGCGCGGCACAGGGAGCCAACTTTCCTTGCGGTGGACGAAGCAATTAACTCAATGTATTTGTTCCATCTCAAGTCAGTGGACAAGGTGAGACCGAGCAGCCGCAGAGAGGTGCTCTCGGGAAGTTGACTATCAGACATTCTAATGGGGGCAGGGAAGGATCTCTGTGGTGATTAATAGAGAGTAGTTTTATTTTGGAGGCGTTAAAGTTAACCAAGCAATTCCTGCCCCAGTTCACAACCGATTGGAGGTCCTTTTCGAGATGAACGGCCGGGTTAGTTTTGTCACCGACACTAGATTTGTTTTTAAGTCAGGAGTAAATTGTCGTCCGCGTAGATGCCTACTTGGGAATCTATCACGTCAGGAAGATCGTTGATGAAGATAAGGAACAGAGTAGGGCCTAAGATGGAGCCTTGGGGAACACCTGTGTTTGTGGGACAGGAGCTGGAGTAGAATCCGTTGAGAACGACCTTCAACTCACGGTTTGACCGGAATGATTGTATTAAATCAAATAATCGACCTGTAATACCATAACCCTGGAGCTTGCGAAGAAGACCAGCATGCCAAACCCTAAAAAACGCTTTGGAGATGTCTAGGGCCACGGCACGAGCATCTCCGTTATTCTGAAGAGCTTGGCAGACAATTTCAGTGATGGCCGTAAGCACATCAGCTGTAGATCGGGTAAAGCGGAAGCCATATTGCCTGTCTGAGAGCAGATTATGGGATGTAAGGTAGTTAACCACTTCGGCGTTGATTACAGCTTCGAAGAGGGGAAGGAGACTGATAGGACGGTAATTAGAAGGGTTAGAGTAGTCGCCGGAGTTCTTAAAGACAGGAGCAATCGATGAGGTTTTCCAGCAGTCTGGAAAACAAAATTCCCTGAGGCAGTAGTTGTATAATTTGGAGAGGGCAGGCGCCAGTTCAGGCGCACATTTCTTCAAGACAATGGCTAGTATCCCATCTCCATCACTAGCCTTGTTGGGGTCTAAATTATAGATAATGCCCAATACCAATGACGGAGTTATGTGCAAGTCACTCGATAGGGTGTCAGTTCTAAGAGGGAAATCGGGTACAACGGAAGAGTCGAGCGTTGAATTGAAAGAAAATTTCCTGCAAAGGAGGTATAGAGGGTTTGCTACTGTTTAGTACGCTCTTGCAGAGACGCCAATAATCCTTGGGGCCGAATTTGCGAGAAGCGATACGTTCCTTCATTTGAGCAGCAAATAGTGACTTAGCTTCGTTGAGGACACGCTTACACTCGTTACGGACAGAGGCAAAGAACGTCTATTGCAGTCGGACATATCGCTACGATAGACGTGGAAGAAGTGGTTCCTATGGGCAATGGCGGCTAGGCAAGCAGCAGAAACCAGGGGGAGGAGTGCGATTTGACCTTAAATTTCCTTGAGGGGATGAAAGCGTCGATTCCAGCTTTGACCCAGGAGGAGACCTCAGAAGCACATTCTTGAACGGGGAGCGTAAAGACAACATCCCAGGGGACATCGCGGAGGAAATCACGGAACGAGTCCCAGTCAGCTCGTTGATAGCAGAACGAGGTTCTAGAGGTAGGAGATTCTTTGCTGGGGGTGGAGTTGAAGGAGATGTTGACCGACACTACGGCGTGATCGGAGTTACCGAGAAGGCAGAGCTGCGAGGCACTACAAGACTCGGGGATGGAGGTAAATCACAGATCCAGAAGAGAGGCCTTATCGTCCCGATTGTAGTCAAAACTGCGGAATAATCGATAGCATTTCTGACAGCATAGACAAGACTCTCTCTTTCCATCCGTTTGCTCACATATTAGTGTTTGGCGATTTTAACGCCCATCATACCAAGTGGCTTAAGAATGCTACCATTGACCTTGCAGGCACTCAAATACTTAATTTTTCAGTCTCTCAATCCTTCACGCAGATAGTTGACAGAGAGGTTCCCCAGACGAGGCTATGTCGAAGAGCAAGTCTCGTTTCGGAAAACAACTACCCGACCCCGTTTTAGCCGGGTCTTCGGGGAATTTTTGGCCGAGCCTACGGGCTCGGATACCCCACATTAAACTCGGCCTTGTGCTGCACCTGACCACGTGGGGCGGTTGGTAGCTATCCTGCAGTTGGAGATTCATTGTGAAATTCACTTGACTCACTTTTTGCAGTTGACTATTTCTTTTATGTGCCCTGGCGAATCTTATATGTGTTGTTCTTGTCCTACGTATTATTGTTTATTACCAACCTGTGTGATTATTCTATTCAGTAACCTTCCCTAGGTAAAAGTAGAAGCAATGAGTGACATCAGTCTTGTCTGTAATATTTTCTAATCTTCTTGATTGAAGATACTAACATGTACATATTTTCTTTTGCGTTTGTTTTTACCCTAAAAGAGATACTCAAATGGTTAAGACCATCTTAATTTACAGACACCAAACGTTATCATATTAACACCACGAATCAATATCCAAAGCAACGAAGACCTATTGGAATGGCCATAGATACATTCCAAATGCTAAGCAAAGTATCAAGAGATAACAATTTCGTTAGAAATAAAGAAAAGAGTACTGAACTTTTACGTGATGTCTATTCTCCAGTATGACAGCGAATGATCGACAATCTCCTCAAAGATGAAGAAGAGACTTGAAGCAAATGTTGTTCTACAGAAAGACGCTAAGGATACCATGGGTCGAACATGTGAGCAACGACGAGGTTTTGAAGAAAATGGAAACAAAAAAACTTAAACTTAACATCAAATAGAGACAGTTGAAATTTCTGGGGCACGCAATGAGTAAGATAGGCTTGGAAAATCTGATACTCACAGGACAGATTGAACGAAAAATATACGGAGGAAAGCAGCTCGTAAAATACTTGATCAGCTTGAGTAAATGGATGGTAGAACAGGATTTCGGAGAAATAACAAAAAAAAAGAAAACTTATTGTTATGGTCCGGTACCACGGTGATAGTCCAAGGTAGAACCAATAAAGAAGAACTCGAAGGCGGATATAGAATAACACAGATATATTACAAACAGGAATATATACAGAGAGGTAGAAAAGTGTTAGTACGAACAATCAGGTTTAGTAGTAATTGTCTGAACGCGACTCTGTTTCGGACTGCCTCTGACTCGACTGACTGACGGACTTCTCGCCAGACTTCAGACGGAACGGTATTTAGTCACCCCCCCCCCCACGAAGGCATCATGTGGCACAAGGCCGGTTTAACGTGGGATCTCTCGAGCCCGTGGGCTCGGCTAAAAATATGCCCTTTGAACCCGTATAAAGGGTTCAGGGTCGGTTTACCTCCCGAAAGAGATTCCGCCCTTCGGCGTAGCCTCGTTCGGGTTTCCCCGCCCGAAGGCAGAGAGTTCAACCGATCAGCCTGTCAACCGGTCGCCCGACTTCAAACTGAACGGTATTTAGTCACCCCTCCCCCCACGAGGCCATCATGTGGCACGAGGCCGGTTTAACGTGGGATCTCCGAGCCCGTGGGATCTCCGAGCCCGTGGGCTCGGCCAAAAATATGCCTTTTGAACCCATATAAAAGGGTTCAGGGTCGGTTTACCTCCCCGAAAGAGACTCCGCCCTTCGGCGTCGCCTCGTTCGGGTTCTTCCCCACCCGAAGGCAGAGAGTTC